ACTCCTACATAAACGCAGCCCATTATATTTGCTTAACCCTAAAGCAGAATTTATGCACTATCCATTAGGAAATAAACCCTTAACAAAATGTTTTCTTTTAATGGTTCTTCTTTTGTTAAAATCAAAAAAAGTGAAGTGAATTATTTATTTGCTATGAACTGGACTGAAATAATAATATTTATTATTATAAATAATCCTTGCATTTGATACAGCACCTTATCCCTTCATCAAGATGTCTCAATGCGCTTCACAGGATATATACTGTAAAGTGGATTAACTACGTATTTTCTGGGCAAAATGCACAAGTTCAGGAAAAAAAAGGCCTCTTCTCCAATGTGAATCTCAGGTTGATATATTATTGGGCAGCAAGATACCATGAAGTGACCCAATGACATCGTCTGTAGATCTGAGGTTTAATAACTTAGAACGACAGTGTGCCACTTGGTGACTTTAACCATATCTTAAAGAGAAAAGCAGTCTTTCAGCTGGAAAAGCTTAACACATTTTAACAACAACAAAATTACATTTATAGCACCTTTCACGTCAGTAGGACACCCCAAGGCGCTGGATAGTCAAGTATTTCAGACCCAAGCTGAGGGTTGGGAGTGGGGAGGGTAGAGGGCGGGCGGCGGGGGGGAAGCAGGGCGACTGAAAGCGTGCGAAGAGGAGGGTCTTGAAGGAGGCAAGGGAGGGGGCCAGGCAGAGGGTCTGTGGGATGGAATTCCAGAGTGGGGGCAGAATGGCCGCCCGCCAATGGTGGGGCGAGCAAGGCGCGGGACATGAAGCAGGCGCGGTGCCTGCTGAGAGGAGGGAGCGAGCAGGATGGTAGGGGATTAGGAGGTTGGGGGGAGCAAGACTATGGAGGGCTTTGAAGGTGAGGACCAGCATCTTGAACTGTATCCTCTGTGTGATGGGAAGCCAGTGGGATCGGGTGAGGATGGGGGTGATAGAGCCTGGTGCGGGAGAGGACACGGACTGCAGAGTTCTGGATGATCTGCAGGCTGTGGAGGGAGGAGTTGGGGAGGACGACAAGCAGGGAGCTTGCAGTCAAGCCTCGATGTAATAAAGGCGTGTATGAGGGTCTCGGGGGCCTGCGGTGTGAGACAGTGGCAGAGCCGGGCGACGTTGCAGAGGTGGGGAAGGCAGAGCGGGTCATGGCACAGATGTGGGGTAGAAAGGATAGTTGAGGGTCCAAGGTTCCGGACTGGGTTAGTGAGGTGGAGTGTGCGGCCAGAGATGGTGATGCTGTCAGCGCCTGAGGTGAGGAGGTGCTGACGGGAGCCAATCAGGAACCTCGGTCTTGTTGATGTTCAACTGAAGAAAGTTCACTCTCATCCAGGACTTGATGTCTGACAGACAGTCTGTCAGGACAGCAATGGTCCTGGAGTCAAGGGTGGAGGCAGAGGTAGAGTTGGGTGTCATCTGCATACATGTGGGAATTGACCCCATGTCTGCAGATGACGTCACCAAGAGGGAGCATATAAGTATTGAAGAGGAGGGGACCGAGGACAGAGCCCTGAGGAACGCCACAAGAGACGGTGGGGGGGCTAGAGGAAAAGCTGTTTGTGAAGATGAAGTCGAGGCGGTGTGAGGTACGATCTGAATCATTCATGGGCAGAATCGTGAAGGCTGAGGTGAGAGGAGAGGTGGTGGATGAGGATAGAGTGGTCAACAGTGTCCAAGGCAGCAGTGAGGTCAAGGAGGACGAGGAGGCAGAGGGAGCTCTGGTCGCAGATGAACAGAATGTCATTCGTCACTTTGACTAGGACTGTTTCTGTGCTGTGATTGGCAGGGAAACCTGTTTGGAGGGGATGAAGGGAGTACGGGAGAGGAAGGAGCGAAGCTGAAAAGGAACAACTAGTTCCAGGACCTTGGAGAGGAAAAGGAGAATGGTACCAGAAGACAGGTTTATGATGTCTGTGAGTAGAGGGGCAAGGAGGTGGAGCTGAGAGGTAAAGGAGAGGGGTACGGATGTGGTTGAGTGAGCAGGTGGTCGGTTTCATGAGGGTTATAATGGTGATGAGAGGATGGGGAGACAGGTTTGAGTTGTGGAGGGAGGAATGGGCAGGGGCCGGGATGAGAGGGGGAGATGGGGAAGTAGATGGAAGGGCAGAGGCAGCTGAGTGGATCCCCTCGACTTTGGATTCTAGCAAAAGTCCAGCATCGCCTTGCAGCTGGCACTGAAATCGAGGATGAGCGAGGGGTGAGAGGGTGGGCGGAGGAACTGGTTGATGATGGAGAAGAGGAGCCTGGGGTTATCCTTGGCGTCCAAGATTGTCTTGGAGTAGGGCAACGATTTAGTGGAGGCGAGAGTGGTAAGATTTGATAAGGTCCAGCCAAACCTTTCATGAGTAGGAGACGGTTCGGGAAGTGACAGGAGCCAAGAGAATCGAGAGTGGCAGCTGTGGAGAAGAGTGACTGAGGAGGATGTACTTAAGTACTTCAAACTGGATGGAAATTTCAAAACCTGCCTGCATTGCATGATGTGCAAAATCAGCTTGTTGACTTAATTGTTGGCACTGCCTTCCATCATCTCCGGAATATCGCCAGACTACGGCACTATCTCACCCCTCACGCGGCTGAAACTCTGGTCCACGCCTTTATCACCTCAAGGCTGGACTATGGGAACTCTCTCCTCGCGGCCTTCCCGGCCCTCCCTCCACACTGCAGGTCATTCAGAACTCTGCAGCTCATGTACTGTCCCGCACCAGACACCGCGACCACATCACTCCCACCCTCGCTCACCTCCACTGGCTCCCCAGCCCCCAGGGGATCAAATTCAAGATCCTCATCCTCACCTACAAGGCCATTCACGGCCTCGCTCCCTCCTACTTCTCTGACCTACTATCCCCCTACCTACCTGCCCGTACCCTCTGTTCCTCTGGCTCCGGTCTGCTCCACATCCCCCGCCCCAACCGCCCTACCATCGGTGGCCGGGCCTTCAGCCCCCAGGCTCTGGAACTCTATCCCCCAGTGCCTTCGCCACTTCCTCCCTTTCCTCCTTCAAGGCCGGTCTCACGACCTTTCTCTTTGACCGTGTCTTCAGCTCCCCTCTCGACTCTCTACCCCCTCCTCGCTCCCTCCCTTCCCTCCCCTCACCCTGACCATTTCCCCTCTGCTCGGGTCCCAACCCAACTGTACAGCGCCTTGTGACATCCTCCCGACGTGAAAGGTGCTCTATAAATGAAATCTTGTTGTTGTTGTTGTTAATCTTTTTTCTCAAAAGCATAAAAAAAGCAATTGTAGGTTTCTTCTGTTTACTTATGCTGTCTAGTGACAGTCCATTCATCGATTTAAAACTACAGTAATCTGTAAAATCTTCTTTATTGACATTAAACATAAACAACATATACTGTCTCCTTTATACAAAGACAATCTATATTGTCGTCTTCTGTGGCTTTGCTGACAGTTCTTTCTTATTAAGAGAAACACAGTAACTGGAATCCATATCCTGTATCTTTTGTAAGATTTTGAACTAAGTCACATTCTTCTACAATAGAAGTAAAAACACCCTTTGAAGCACGACAAATCATACGAATAATAAAAACCAATTCTTTCAAGAATTTAAATAAAAACATTCCTCAAGGATGTCTCCAATCACAAAGTAAAATCTTGACAAGATCAACTCCTTTGTGATCTCTGTGCCAATCTTATAAAATTGATAAAATTAATAAACCTCAGAATTTTAAACTGCATGATATATTGAAGTGTCTACTTTGCATGAAAGGTATTCAAGTTCATTCCGTTACAAATTAGCAATAGAGAAATACAAATTTAGGAAGAAAAATAAACTCTGAAATATGCATAAAATGAACAACATTTGTAGCACAGTCATCTTATTAAACACAATATATTCAAAAGCACAGAGTTAATGATAAGGGCAGAGAGTGATATGTGTTTAGTAGGTTACTGTCAATCGCAATGCTAGATTGTCTATGACTGTGAATGGCAACACACTTATTATTACAAATTCCTTACTAAGTACTTAATTCCAGGAAAATGTCACTACCAATTATATATCAAGTCACAAATTAAAATGTTCTTAAAACAGATTTGTTGTCAACGGTGCAGAATAATCATTGAAATGCTACACTGTAGCAATTGTTTCAGGAAACTATGCAAAAAATAAATTGGAATAATAAATGATTTACAAAGCTAAAAGGCAAAAATATTAACTCTATAACTAGACTTGTAAAGGGTTCCCCAAAAATATAAAATGTGATCATTTTAAGACGCAGAACAAAGTACAGTAAATTTTAAAACTGTTTTGTAGATGCTATACAAAGTACTGAACAAAAATGCCATATTGCCATAGTTCTACGAACATCTTCTACTCAAACCTATCAATGCCCTCAAAGCTTTGACAAGAATATGCACCCAGCAAAATTCTTGAGGTTTAAATACCTCTGCAAGAAAATTGCCAAGATTACCATAAATTAAAGTGAACAAGTACCTTCAGGTTCTTAACTTTGCCTGCAATATTTTTTAGCATTATCAACTTTCATAACCAAAGGGACAATGGTCACCTTTATAGCTATGTATTTTAGGATACATTTAGAATGTTTAAAACAGGAACGGTTACCATCCATTCTAGCCAGACATGAGGACCACAAGAAGTCAATAGTCTGTTATTTTGTTTGCTATTGTTAATAACAAAAGGATGATTGCTTGGTGAACGCCAGACAATGCCATTTAGCAGCATTAATCATTCAAATGAGAAGCAACTCTAGACTCCATTGCACTCTAGAATTTACAACATTCAGTGGTTTATATCCCATTAAATTTATATTCAATATGATAGTGTGTACTTAAAGTTTTTAGCAGGAACAAATTCTGCATACATTTATCATAATAGTCTATGAGGCATAAGTCAGAGTAGTCAAATACTTGCATCAGAAATTTCCGTGAAACTTCATGAGCTGCAAACAAGATTGATCATTTTATTTGCCAAATGTTTAGATGTAAATCTAAAAGAATGCTATGCTTTGATATATTTTTACCTCATCCCTTATATCCTCTTGTTGCTGAGCTGCAAAGATCTCCATGGCATTTATCAGTCGCATCATCAAATCATCTACTGTTGTGTTACCTAGCAACAGAAGAACAGACACGATACTAAAATTATTTTGATTCATGTAAACTGAAAAAAGGCAAATCATTTCAATGTCAAATTAACAACTTTTCTTAATGAATGTTGCAAAGGCAATGTTAAAACAAAAGCATGAATTCCAGTGCACATCTGACCTTGCAGTTTCTTGCGCAACATGAGCTTGATATAGTGCCTTTCACGTAGGAGAAAGTCTCACAGAACTTCACAACGGGTGAGCCTGGGATTGTAATATAGAAGAAGTCCATTTGGAGATCTAGTTTGCAGTATGCTAAAAAAAAACCTCCCAGAAAGATTACAAGTCGATCCTACAAGTAAAGATCCTAATAGATGATGCATTAAAATATTTATTTTAAATGAAGATACTCACATCATTCAATTGTTATCAGAATAAAAATACTAAATTATAAAAGCAAAAACGGAGTAGTTCACTCTAATGCACTTTACAATATATTCTGTGAAGCCCTTTGAGGCATCTCAATAACGTGGTAAGGCATTATATCAAATGCAAGGATGATTATTATTACAGTTCTGTGTAAAAAAAAATTTCATTCACCAAGTTCTACACATTCTACATCATAAAAATATCTACTTAGGATACCTTGAATAACATTCAAAACTTCATTGGATGATCGTTTTCCCATTATAATAAGAAGTAGAGGAAACTGATCCGTTGTGTACGTCCGAATTGTTTGTGCCACAACACTGCCAAAATGTCTAGTGCACATGCTTAAAAACCTGCAGGGGGTAAAATATAATAAGGTCAAGCTTTTCACATCACATGCAACTTAAACAGTCTTGAGGCTAAATTTTTACTTCGCTAATTCAAAGTATGGTTACAAATTACTAGTCATATAAACGGCAGTTTTGACAGTACAAAACAAAAGTTAAGTTTATTCAGCAAGGCACTATATTTGTACTCGTCACAGAGGATAAAGACTCTTTCTGGGACGAAACTCAGCCACAGATATCTGCATTCAACTTCATACTGTGAGAGATTTAAAACGCATTGGAAAACCCTTCTCTGAGTGATATGGAGATAAGTCAGAGCAATGGAATAGACTGAACAACAACAACTTGGATTTATATAGCGCCCTCCACGCTGGACGGCGTCTCAGAACGCTTCACAGTAATGGATCCCGGGGCTGAGCCAGGGGCAGGGGGAGGAAGATGACCAAAGGCGTGGTCAAAAAGAAAATGAACACCTTGCTCTGAAAGCTTGATGGGCCAAATGGTCTCCTCCTGTTATACAAGTGTCAGGAACCAGCTTCAGGCTCTTTTTCGTAAAGAGGCCAGCATTTGGTGTAGCATCTTATCACGTCTTCGAGACGTCTGAAAGCGCTTCACAGAATATACTGTAAAGCGAATTGACTATATATATTGTGAGAGAAACGCAGCAATTGCTCACAGCAGAGTCCCATAAACAATGATGGATTGATTAACCAAATTATTATTTTAATTGTTTTATATTACCCCCGGAAAAGCGATCCACCATTCGACTAACAACCAGGTTCCTACTTACTGCAAGGTAAACAGAGACGTGTGGAGTAAGGAAGCTTGCCTAACGTTTCGCCCTGCCTGGGCATCAAACTCAGGTCTTCTTGCTTGCGAGGCGAGTGGGGGGGTGTGGCCATGAGCACGGTTGAAAAGGAAGTTTTTCAGGTGGGATTTGAAAAAGGGAAGAGGGGGCAAGGCGGAGAGATTGAGGGAGAGTTTTCCAGAGTTTTTGGGCGT